ATTCCTGCCTCCCAGCCTGCAGAGGTGACCCTGCCGAGGCCTGGGCTTGGCCGACCAGAAAAAGGGCATTCCACTGGACTCCTCTCCTTTTCTGGAATTCTTGTTCAATCTCTTCATACATCTCCACCTCAGGTGGGCTCAACACTGTGTGTGTGTGTGTGCACGTGTGCTTCTTTGGAGTTGGTGGGTATCGTGTTGTGAGCATAGGGAATCTGAGATGCGGGTCTTTGGTCCACAAAAAGCCCAGAGACTACAGCAGGGGAGGGGTCCCTCTGGCCACCCAGTCCCCTCTCATAAGCACAGTGCTTTATAACCTGTGCTGGGAATTCGCGTTTAAAAGGCAGAGTTGTGCTGTGGTCAAGAACATGGGCTTTGGAGTTAGACAGTTCACTTCCAGGCTCCACTACAAGCTGTGTGACCTTGAATAAGCATTTGAGCTCTCTGAGCCTCACTGTCCTCACTTGTAAGAAGGGGATAATATCAGCCTCAGTTGTTACGAAGAAGGCATGACATAATATATGCAATGTGCTTGGCACACACTAAAAGCGTAATATTGATCAATGGTGACTATCGTCATTATTGTCGACTCAGGGCCATCCTGTGAGGGAAATGTTATTCCCATTTTCACTGCAGGAATGTGAGAGGGTTTCAATTAGAGTTCTGGTCTCCTGACTTCTAGTCAGCGCTTAAAACTGAGAGCTGTTGTTATTATTTCTCTGCCCAGCCCAGCTTCAGCCCCTCCACAACATGGCAACTGATTACACAGCCAAGATAGACAGTGCAGGGCAGGGGTTCATGGGGAGGGGGTCTGATAGAAGCAGGAGATTCCTGGGGTGCCAGGTTCTGTCTTACTGGGGCCCCACTTGTGTACAGGGCAGGCCTGAGCAGGTCTTTTCTCTTGAAGGTACCTGAAGCACACCCTGGACCAGTATGTGGAAAGTGACTACACACTGCTCTACCTGCACCACGGCTTGACCAGTGACAACAAGCCCTCCCTCAGCTGGCTTCGGGATGCCTACCGGGAGTTTGACCGCAAGTGGGTTGGGGCCTGTGCCCGGGCTCCAGGGGCGGGGTCTTGGAGGCCCCGTGGCCTGGGGGCAGGTGGCTCTGGAGCCAGCAGCTCTGCTGGGTTCTGGGCTGCCCTCTGCTTGGGCAGGAGCTTATTCCATGGTTTGAGGAGGCAGGTGCCCCCACCT